TATTAACAAAATGAAACAGGTGCTAGTGTGCAACATTGACAAATGACTACATTGTAATTGTATTGATTCTGCCTCAGTCTTACTCGGCAATAAACTTGGCACCAACATAAAAAAGACAAAAAGCTAAAAAAGCACCTCTATTCTCTACAGTACTGTATGACTTTATCTCACGTTTTTACTCTTTAGTTCAGTCAGGATAGTCTGGATAGTCAGGTTTATTGTCATTCTTATACATTGTAGGACTTTTAGTAAACCACCAGACAATGACTCTTAGTGGATTTTTCCAGTAATTGTTGTAACAAGTTGATCAAGATTCACCAAGAGCTACTTACATGACATCGTACAGTCATGTCCCTATAATTTATACACCTTAATAAATGTCAGAATAAAACTGTATTAAGGAAATAAATCATTATACCATCACAATATCACATATTTCAGTTTTTCATTCAGATTTCAGAAAGATTTCAGTCTTTTATAGAAGTATTTCCTTAAGCTACTAAATGTTACAGATTGAAAAATAACTGCAAATCAGAAAATAAAGAACTAAATAATTATTTTATTTTGCTATATAAAAAACACCTAAGAAATATAAAAAAAAATAGAAACCCACAACCAGTGTGGCATCAGTTCCACATTCATTAATATGGCACTAGACAATATGCATGTGCATATTGCACATTTGTTGTGGAAAAATGCTAAAAGAGGGTCAGGACACTCATCAGAGGAACAAGCAACAGCATCATAGAACCACAGAGATGAGAAGCCTCAGATACTTTCACTTTCACTGGGATCCACTCATCTGTGAACAGGGAATATAATGCAATGAAATGTAATGTATTGCCAGCAGAAATCAACAGAAACCCTAATTTACAAATGATTAAAATAAATGAAATGTTCACCTGTGTTCCCTTCAGACAACATCAGAGGACCCATGGATATGGAAGCACTGTCATGGAAGTCCAGAGACCTGTGCTCTCTCCAGTGGTGTTCAGAGTTACAGTCCTAAAAGAGAAATGCAAAAATCCAGCTGTGTAAACCCCTAATAAATATCATTGCACAAACATGAAACATAAAGGAGTGCACAAAGTCTCCAGCAGAGTACAAACCTTACCACTATGGACATTTCCCTTCCAATTTTCCTTCCAATATTTACTGTTTGATCAACGGGGTGTCAATGGTAAATTCTTAAAAATTTACAATTTAGCCACTACATTTAACTATGAAGATACATTCAGTATATTTTCATACATTCGTTCAATATCTACACAGAAACATATTATCATCACAGTTTTATTAATTATGAGAGGTTTTCCAAACTCACCATTGAGCAGTGATTGCTTGACAGAAGGCACAGGTGAACAGCGCAGTGCAGGTAAAGCTTAGAGGAGTTTGCAGTGAAGATAAACATCCTGAAGGAGAAACGGCTGGATGTCGAGACGCCGTTCTGCAGCAGCTCCACTGTGTCGTCATTTGGATTGGGACACCTGAGAATATTGACAATGACCATCAACAAATCAAATTGTTTAAATTGAAAGACATTCAACTCAAAAGTGATTTCCTGTAAATCATCACACATTTGCATTCTATGTACAATAAATGGAATTCTTTGCATTAGTACAGCAATACTGAAAGATAATATGTGAGGTCATCCTAAAGGGATATGGCATATTATTTATTCAGTCTATGCGCATTTTTTTATTTTCGCATTTTATTTTTTTTAAATGTTAGTGAGTTAAGAGCTTTAAAGAATAGATAAAACAACATTGCTTTACTCTCTGACGATGAGATCCCAGCGGAGACTGTGATCAGGATCATTCACAGGTGTAGCCCAACACGTCTCCATCACCAGGGCAAACTGGCGGCTGTCAACCCCCTCGACACGAACTTCCACATTCATCTTCTGGTCGAGCTCTGCATCCACTTTACCAGTGAAGGGCCGAGTAAACTCATCATCCTCATATGGAATCATCCGAACCTGATATCTGCCTTCACCAGCGGGAAGAGTCCTGTGCACAACACTGTTGAAATAATGGACAGATCAGTTTTAAGGGTAAAATATTTAATCTTTGTTCAAAAGGCTTCTTGAACTTTCTTCCTGTGACCAATCAACATTTGCAACGTCACCATCATGTGCATCACGTGCGGTCAGGAAGTGGAGCAAGTGCGCTGAGCAGACATGCTTAACGCGAACTCTTTTCATGAGCAAACCGCTTCATCTCACATTTGTCGGCAACATCTCAAACTTACTGATGTAATATAGTTGTGCGTGCATATAAAGTAAGTGTATTTTGTTGTTCTTTATTTAAATCTGCCGATTGTTTGATCCCGCGAGTGAGATTCATCTAGCACTATTGCGCCATACTTATGTGTGTGTTTACGACATCAAATAGATGATTGTCACCGTTAAGCTTACTTTCATGCTCATTATAGCTGATGCAAGTAATGTTAAGTATTTACCGTGATGTATGTTAACGTCTTATCGAGTTATTTCGCGATTAATGTCTCGCTGTTTACAATATAAAAAATGTGTGCCTCAGTCATGTCTAGTGCAGTAATGGCGCCATCTTGTGGGCTGTCATAGAATGACTGCTCTAGTTATATGCACAGACATGATAAACTGCCTTAATTTGTGTTTATTTTATACTTGAAAGTATTGTTATGGCATGATCATTGTTTCTAAATGTTATTTAATAATTTGTTAATGTACGATTATCTGTTCTGTTCTAGAACCACAACCTTTTTCCATCAGTAAAAGCTTAAATGAGATTCTGGAGTCTGTGGTGAATTCTTCAAGTTAGATGTCAAAACAGTTCTGACCGACTGTCTGCAGGGGTTCTAATCCACCCAAATCAGTGCTAAAATTTAAACCTCAATTACAATCTTTGTTTAAAATAAATATTACCATATACATTTTTTATATACATGTATTTTTCTGCTTAAAAGATTAGTTCACGCAAAAACTATCATCATTATTCACTGAAAATTTTCACATCCACAATGTTTTCTTTGACACATTCATGACAGCTCATTAGAGGAGTAGTGATGTCCGAATTGGAAGCGATTTGTTCATCTGATCTTTTACTCAAAATGATTCATCTAGCCAGTCTCCAGATCTCAACCCCATAGAAAATCTTTGGAGGGAGTTGAAAATCCGTGTTGCCCAGCGACAGCCCCAAAACATTACTGCTCTAGAGGAGATCTGCATGGAGGAATGGTCCAAATTACCAGCAACAGTGTGTGAAAACCTTGTGAAGACTTACAGAAAATGTTTGACCTCTGTCATTGCCAACAAAGTGTATATAACAAAGTATTGAGATGAAATTTTGTTATTGACCAAATACTTATTTTCCACTATAATTTGCAAATAAATTCTTTAAAAATCCTACAATGTGATTTTCTGGATTTTTTTTCTCATTTTGTCTCTCATAGTTGAGGTATACCTATGATGAAAATTACAGGCCTCTCTCATCTTTTTAAGTGGGAGAACTTGCACAATTGGTGGCTGACTAAATACTTTTTTTCCCCACTGTAGACCATTTCTATAATGCATTTGTGGTGCTTTTGTTTTCTTTTTGAAGCTTGAAAGTCCCCATGAGGACTAACTGCATTGAAAAGTGTGACCAATAAAATTCCAGAGTTAGAACAACATGATGAGAAAACATTTTAATAAAACAGTACAGCTAAAATCAGAATTTGTATTTGACTCGCACCTCTCCAGTGGGTTGATTTCCCTATTCATGGAAAGTGTTTGTGTTTGAGGATAAACACAGCTGAAAGGAAGCTTAAGGATTTTCTCTCTGCTGATGAGACCTTCTGACCTCGGTGTCCCCAGAATAAAGTTACTATAGATGAAGTGGGTGCCGTTGGCCTGTGAAAAACACATATAGTAATTTAGCTAAAATTGTATTTCTATTACAAAGAACTTCATGAAAGCAACATTAGAAACACACACAAAAACTGTCAAGTGAAATAATGGTGGGTTATATATTAATGGTGGAGAATGTGGGCACAAGTTCAATTTTTTGTGGTGAGGTCTTGTGCACCCTTCCCCACTGAATCTTTTGGAGACTTTGAGTAGTCTTTAAAGTGGTCTGTTTGGGCCCTCCAAAGAATCAATCTGTAACAAATGGAAGGGCCCAAAGGTTTTTTTTTTGTGGATGTGTGCTACCATCTGAGCCTGAATCTTGGAGTTCTGGGCCCGCGTGGCTTTGTTTGATCGGGATTTGGATTTAAATCTGACTGTTTTTATTGAATTGCTCATGCTTATTACATTGCACAAAGGCATCAGTCTACAAGTCTGCATTTTGGGTGTAAATTGGCTGTTCAGCGAGGATCTTCGTCAGGAGCACAAGAGACTGGTACGTGTCTGCCTTTGTTTTACGGGCTTATTTGGACTTTTGTGGCCGTCGACTTGCTTGTGTACAGTATGTGGTGTTTAACCACTGGAAGCATGTTCTTTTTAAGTTTGTTTTGGACATTTTGTCAAGTATATACAAGTGGCAGCGGGTTTGCTTCAGGTCCATTTTTATCATATAATTCATCATTGGTCAATTTTGATAGTTGGACATATTATGGAGTATCTACTAACTACGTCATTCTTGAACAACATTATGGGATGTTGTACCCCATGAATTTTATGTATTTAGATTTTTTGAGATGTGCTTTATCTAGGGAGGTAAATTATTGTACGCTTAATATATTTTTTTGTTTGGGGCCGATGACTAGAATTAGAGTGAGTAATTCAGTTAAACGAAGGAGTTTAATAGTAATAATGTTATTAATGTCTGGGAATGTATCTCCAAACTCAGGACCACACATTGCTTCAAACTTTCATACCCCAGTCGAGTTGAGATTAAGGTCTGGATTGGGTTTTATTTAAATGTTCGTAGTCTGTTGCCTAAATTGGATATGGTGTATATTTGGGCTAAAAATACAAATGCGTATGTTATAGTCATATCTGAATCCTGGCTTTACGACATTAGTATTGCTGGTTATAGGGTTTTTAGAGCAGATAGGTTCAAAAGGGGTGGGGGGGGGGGTAGCAATTTATGTCAAAGAACATCTTGAGACATCATTAATACTTTCAGTGTCAATAACTAAACAGTATGAACTATTAGCTTTAAATCTTTCTGTGTCTAAGACCTTTCAGCTCACTTTAGCTGGTTGTTACAGACCTCCTTCAGCTTCTAGCTGTGTTTTACATTCTATAATGCATTCATTGGCCTCTTTGAATTGCAAAGAACTGATCTTAATGGGTGATTTTAATTTGAATTGGACGCACTCAATATCTGATGATTTTAAATTGTTTTGTGATAGTCGTCTTTTTCAATTGGTAGATACACCCACTAGGCCTAATTTGAAATTCCAATAAACATTAAATAGATCTTGTCTTTACAAATGCTCTGCATAAATATTCTTCAGTTTCTGTATTCGCAAACGATATCAGTGACCACTGTGTTGTGGCAGTAGCCAGAGATAAGAAGCTACCCAAGCAGAATCTGAGAAATATAACTAGGCGTTTTATGAAATATTTTAATGAGCAATATTTCTTATATGATCTCGCTCAAATTGATTGGGATAAAATGCTTGGGACTATTTTTATAATAGTTTTATGCCAATTATTAATAAGCACGCACCTTTGAGAAAACAAAGTTAAACACTGGGACAATCCTTGGTTTTCAACTGCCCTATATGATCTTATCCAAGAGCGTGATGCAGCATGGGCTAAGGCCAGACGAACACATTTAAATTCTGACTGGCTACATTTTAGGCAGCTTAGCAACAAGTGTACAGTAGCGATTAGAAAGTCTAAATCCGATTACTTTCTTGATAAAACTACAGAAAATCTGACAAACCCTAGGAAGCTGTGGAAGAATATTAAAGTCCTAACTGGTAACAAAACATTTACAGAGCTTCCCCCTTGTATATTGACAGACTCTACTAAAATTACAGATAAAAAGCAAATGCTTAATAGTTTTAACAGTCACTTTATTGTATCAGGGTCTTTATTTCCAATAAGGAATGATATGATTTCTGATTTAGAATTTATTGAAGCTGAATGTAATTTATGGACAAGAGAGTTGTTTTCCAAGGAATTTCTCTCTCTGATGTTTGTTCTGCTTTAAAATAATTAAATGTGAATAAATCGCCAGGTCCTGATCATATTGCCCCGCTGTTTTTAAAACTAGCGGCTGATTTTATTTCTTCTGTGTTGACATATCTTTTTAATCTCTCATTAATAACTAATAGAATTCCTAAGATCTGGAAATCAGCGTTTGTTGTTCCTCTGTCAAAAGGGGGTGATCTTTCTTCAATGTATAATTATAGACCTATATCTAAGCTCTGTATTCTCTCAAAACTTTTGGAAAATCTAGTTAGTAAACAGTTGACACAGTATTTAAATGGTCATAGCATCTTGTCTAATAATTAGTCTGGTTTCCGTAAAGGACATAGTACTACTACAGCCACCTTAAACGTTTAAAATGATATCGTGGAGTCATTAGATAATAAACAACATTGTGCATGTCTTTTTATTGACTTATTAAAGGCCTTCGATACTGTGGATCACAACATATTATTAGATAGGCTTAGATGGGTAGGACTATCAGAACATGATATTTTATGGTTCACTGCTTATTTAATGGGTAGAACCCAATGTGTACAGGTGGAAGGTGTTCAGTCAGATCTTTTAGAGGTTGTCAAGGGAGTTCCACAAGGATCTGTGTTTGGACCATTATTATTCCGTATATATGCTGTATAAATTGCCTCGATTTTAATATTGATAAAGCAAGGTTCCATGTTTACGCAGATTATACTATTGTATACTGTTCAGCTCCCTCTAAGCAACAATCTGTGGCTGCATTACAGTCTGTTTTTGATATTATCCAAAACAGGTTTTGTGCTTTGAAGTTGGTTTTAAATGTTGAAAAAACTAAATGTATGCTATTTTCAAATTCTAGAACTTCTTTAGAGAACTCTATTGTCCTTCAAACTTCTCAGGGGAGTCAAATTACCTCAGTGTCAGAGTACAAATATTTGGGTATTATCATTGATAACGAATTAAGTTTTGGTTCACATATTAAGTATCTGAGTAAAAAATTAAAGAAGAAGTTAGGGTTTTACTTTAGAAATAAGTCATGTTTCCCATTTAAGGTGAGGAAAAAACTAGTGTCCGCTACATTTCTACCGATTCTCGACTATGGGGATGTGGTTTACCAGCATGCCCCCTCTTACCTTCTTTCTTCCTTGGATGCTTTGTACCATGGGTGCTCTGAGATTTATAACTGATTGTAAATTATTAACTCATCATTGTGAATTATATGAAAGAGTCGCATGGCTTGAGAATTCGGAGAAAAATGCACTGGCATTTGTTGATATATAAGGCAATTTTGGGTCATTTGCCAAATTATCGCTGTTGTTTTATACAAAGGACTTTATTTGGAAATCATTCATTACGTACTGATTGTAAATTTTTAACTCATCATTGTGAAAGAGTTGCATGGCCTTCCTTGAGAATTCGGAGAAAAATGCACTGGCATTTGTTGATATATAAGGCAATTTTGGGTCATTTGCCAAATTATCGCTGTTGTTTTATACAAAGGACTTTATTTGGAAATCATTCATTACGTTCTCAATCAAATTACAATCTCTGTGTGCCCTTTGTCAGAACTGAGCTTGATAAAACCTCTTTTAAATATTCTGCCACCTCAGATTGGAATCTTCTCCAAAAGGAGATGAAGTTACAAAACTTGGTGTCTTATAATTATTTTAAGTCCTTATTATGTAATCTAGAGAGCAACTTAATGGTGTGTAATTGTTTTTAACCGGTTATATGTTGGTTTTGTAATGTATGTTGTAACTATGTTGTTTATTTGTATATGCAAACTCGGCTGCCCATCTTGTCCAGGACACTCCTGGAAAAGAGGTTTTAATCAAAGTGAGTATATTCCTGGTTAAATAAAGGTATTAAATAATCCTCCATAGATATTCTCAAAGTCTCAGAGAGATTTTCCAATTGTTCAAATCCCACTCCAAATCCAACTGCTGGTTTTAAAAGGCACTACGAATGTTTGGATGGTGTATTTGAATAGATAATACATAATCCTACCAGAAGATTTGTAGCACAGATATGTTCATCATTATCAAAATGGAATTCCACTCTGCCATTCCTGACTGTTCCTTTGCAGCTGGGATCATTGAGGTGTAAGATGTCAGCTGGAAAACCAGCCTCAAAGAGCTGACAGCGAGACACAGACATGGAGCCAGAGCTGCTTTCACAGGTTTCTGAGAAATCTGAGAGAAAAAAAGCCAAGGTAATGAATGACTAATGAATTTTTTTGACATTTAGTTCTGGACTGATACCAACCAAAAGAGTCATGATGTTGTTGTTGTCTGTGATGGTCCTTTTCACACAAACAGCCGTAAACACCATTTTTCATCCCGCACCTTTCGTCCTCAGAGCAGCTGAGTTCAGAACAGGGATTTCTATTAACTAGGAGAATAAGTTGTTTTGTAAAATAGCATCTAGTAAATGCAAAAATATGAATGTAAACATAAGCACTGCTTAGTAACCCACAAGTCATAATCAACCAATTCTCAGCTTTACATATTACCCCACCAACAGAATGAAATGTTATTATAACATTTGTGTTGCAGAGACAAGCTGTTACATTTCCATATATCCTTATACTAAACAATCTAGACCCTTGACTGATTATTGCTCTTGGTCTCAATTTAAGATGTTTTCTAGGGAATTAAATTAACCTTTTTAGCATTTATAATCAATTACCCCTTGATTATAAAACGGCCCACTGTAATATTAGTCCAGGTGTTTGGTATAGTGGATATTTAGATTTAAAGAACTAAAAAAAATCAGCAGATCCTGACTTGAGTACACATGGTGATCTGTGTTAAATTATTTTAAAAGTGTCATAACACATAAAATGGATCTGATTTGCTCACATAAAACAATAATCCTCGAGACTGTTATACAATGTTTTTTTTTTTTTACGGTATATCAAAAAGTGTATATTTTTTAAATGTGATTGTTGGTACATTTTACCAGTTTTT